AACTTGTCATCTGTGCCTTGCTCAAAACCACACAAAGATACATCAAAGTTGCATGTCACTTCTAGGTGAAGACAGTGAAGAGAAACAAAAGAATGCTCACGTTATCTTCTGAATTGGCTGGAAATGCTACTTGAAATAAACCGGTTAACCGGTTCATTTTAGACTGCTATATTTTCCGTCTCAACGACCTTGCTTTTTGGCGTAATTGTATCACGCTGGGTCTTTAGTCTTGCGGTCTTGTTTTTCCGCCTAATCTTTTACCACTTACTTATCGAAGTCTCCAAAACTAAAATTACCAGTTCAAATCTCGCTTGCTGCCTTACAATTCAGGGCTATGAATCTGAATACGTTCCCACACCTCTTGCCTCTGGAGGTGTTGGAATGTTTATTTATGAAACATTAAATGAATTACAAAGTTATAGAAAAAACCTCTAGTAAAGCATGTCAAGCGTTACGGATTGAAATGCCTTTTGCTAAAAAGAAAAATGTAATATGTGGTGTGACTTACAGACAACGCAACTCTCGAGACCTTTTTCAAAGGTATTTTGAAGAAACTATAGAGAAACTTACTCCAACAGGAAGTAAGTACCCTGGATAAACAACACTAACCCAATTTTAATCACAGCTGTTTCGTCCTTTAGAGTGAGTTTTACTTAATAAAATTTTATTCCCAGAAAGATCAGTCTACCTACCTTCACAACTGGCTTCAATTTCAATGACAAATTCATCAATTGATTTCCTGGCTCTTTCCAGCTTCTCGTTTATCTCGTTCTTTTTTTGGTTTATATAATTGGAGTAGTCTGCAAAAATTACTTGGCAGTTATTACGTACTGTGGGTTGTCCTCGTTATTTACATGGTGCGCAGAAAAATTGATATAAAGATTATATATTGAAATTTCAACATTTTTTAAAAAAATTAATCTTGTACTCATGGAGTTTCAGTTGTAAATGTGTTCGAGTAAAAGTTTGTCCCGTTTTATCATAAAGTTTTGAGTTCTTCTGCTAACGAGCGACAGCAAGCTCAGGCTTCTTCTAAAAAATAATATATTCCACGAATGATAACGTTCTGTAGTTAATTCATCACGTTTATATTTTGTCATTCGTAAACAATAGCTGCAAGAATATAATTACTAAGTTGAGCAATCAGAGGTCCTGAACAGATTCTAGACTAATTCAACGTCATCAGTATGGAATTTCCGTCGTTGAAGCGCAGACGTCTCTCCCGCGAAACAGCTTTAGCGGCAAGGAGAGAGGGGAGACGGCTGTATTCGCAGGCGAGCCAAAGATTGAAAACTCTGATTCTGCTGGTCAATTCTTGGAATTTTAACATTCTGCCCAAGGTAAAAATAGAAATTTCAATATCTGGTAGCTTTAGGCTTAGCTACATAATTCCGGAATTTTGGGGGGGAGATCTTAGGCATCAATAAGAGTTTTAGAAAATCTCAGGAAATTTTAGAAAACATTAGAGCAATTTGAACATTCAGCCGAAATTTCGGCTACGTTTCACAGACAAAAACGTGGACACAAGGATTTTTTGTATTCCTACCAACCAAGAGAGGGCTCAGTCCGCTCACATGCTCAACAGCAGTGTCTAGAGCACTGTCCATTGAGCACAACCAACCGAGCGGTTTATCATCAGTCATGTATACTTCAACTAACCAGCGGTTATTCACCAAAAGGTGCCCTTGCTATAAAAACGAAATTTTTTTGAGAACTTTGGGGAATTTTAGAGAGTTTTTTTGAGAATTTTAGACATTTCTAAAAGAATTTTAAAGCTTTTTTCAGGGAAATTACGGCAAGAATTTTAGGCCATTAAAATTTCCATATACTAATCCTAGTAAGTAATTCACCTGTAACTATGATCTCTATGATATATATAAATAAAATTAGAAGACTAGATCGCCGCCGATCTTCCTAAAACCCTTCAACATTACAACTACAACTATTCCGAAAAATCTATCATTCCTTTTACGACGACTTTACAATAACATTTTTTTAGACTCCTCTGATAAATTATTGAAAACAAAAAGATAAATGTTAATATTATACAAAATTCATTATACCAGTGCTTAACATCTTTCCTGTTCATCATTTTTTATGATGACAAGCAAAGGTCCAACAATTTCGGTGCAAATGTGCACGCAACGCGATCAAATGGGCTTCATAGAAACCAGGGCCGAGTAGTTAAAAGCTGGGTAAAGATAACCCAAGGTTAGTGCGATATTTGAATTCAGTTGTGAACGCTTGGAAAGCATTTCAGTTTTAATTCCTTTTGTCTACAAGTTGATGATTAGAGGCTCTAAAAATAACAGAGATATTATCCGAGAAAATGCTTTTGAATACAAGAGAAAGAAACTCGGGTTAGTTTTAAACCCCGGGTTAAGTGCTAATCGGCCTTCGAACAACTGGGCCCAGGGGCTCTCTTATGCTAACACACGTACGAATTGTTAGGGATAGGATATTTGAAACGAAATTTGGGCAAAAGCGAAATGCAATATCAATCCCCCTGGTTAAAATTTTGACTCGTATAGACCGTTACTACAGTTGTAACTTATCTACTTGCGAAATTGTTGAGTAAGAGATTCAAAAAAGGTAGCGAATATTAAATTCGAAAACCTTTACTGTAGATAGAACAGTGATAGAAGGAATGCCTGATGACTTTCTGACCAAATTCGGACTAGAAAACAACTCTAACTGCGCATTCTGTGGCGATGAAAAAGAAGAGCTTGCCCACCTTTTCTAGTATTATTAAAATTGAAGAACTTGAGAGAAAGACATGCTTAGGTAAACAACTTGGTGGCGAAAGTATCACGTACGCATTTAGAGCCCCCGCGTGAACGCATTTAGCAACACGTACGCATAAAACTTTATTTTACCTGTAAATATTGGCATCAATTTATAATGGCGGAAAACAACGGACGACAGTTGTGGTTTGAGTGGTGATAAACAGTCAGTAAAGCCATTGTGCGACGTCTGACCTCGACGAATATTTTAGTTCACATATACTGATGACGAAACGTCCCTGCTGCCCCGATGCTGCTTAATCGCAAAAAATAAATAAATAAAAATTCGAGGAACACGTAGTTTTAAGATTCGAACTTGAGAGCACTTGTCGATGTAAACTTTTATGTCAATGTCCAAAAACCAACTTCCATGTTTGAAAACCTCGAACCAAATTTTAGCTTATTTGTTACAAAGGCTATTTGTGAAAGGATTAAGCTCCTACTGCGGGCTTGATAACTAAGTTAGTGTTTATTTTTCTTTAAAGTACCTCAGTCGCCATCAGAATAGGAACTAAACACCTTTGTTTGCACTTTTTGTCAATGAATGACATAAAAAAGGCAAACCGTGTGCGCTGTCGTTTTTCGCGGATTCGAAGATGGATGCTACGAAGACAATGATCACCGTTCTATTTATAATGTTCCTAATGCTGATAAAAGTACAGCAGGCTCTAAATCTTCAAGGTAATATAGCATATGATCATGAAAATCGGTAAAAAAATTTTCAAATTGTAGACGTTCACATCAATTCCAATTCGGACGCATTGAGTGCAGCCTCCCTGTTTAAGTCACTTTGCATGGTTGACTGGTCATTGTGTACATGCAAGCTGCTCTCTGAAGCCATTGAATGCTCCCCTGGAGCTCGCTAATTGAGGAAACGTTTTAGGAAGTTGTAATGTAACATCTGAGTTGTCTCTAAATTGAAATATATTTGCTCAACTGATTTCTTTAGCTTGATTCAAATGGTATTGTTTGTCTTCAATTGCTCTTTTTCCGTAATTCTATAAAAAGATCGCCAAGTTCTGTTGGTACTTCTCTAGTGTTTAGGCGTTTAGCTCTCAAGATAGTTTTACAAACCCACGGAGCCATAAAGCTGTTTTCCTACTTTTAGTTGTACCCCGGGGGTACTGCCATATATGGGCTATATAGGTATGTGCCGCTGTGAAGGGTATTGCTTTCAAGCAGTTTACTCTAGGATAGGGTATATAAATCAGCACATTTGGGTCTAGAAGAGGGGATCATTTTTCAGGAAACTGATCAGTTAGTTGAAGATTCTATCTAGACTAGGAAAACAGCTACTCTAGGATAGGGGGGATTTGGGGAGGTTTATACTCTAGTCTAGGGTAGCAAAATTTAGCTGAACTGGCTCTGTTATAGGTTAAGGGTTCCAGGGTCCCAGCGGCACATCCCCACCCAGAAATTCTTAAAGTACCCCCCCCAGAGTTGTATCTTTTGGTTTCTTTTCACGCTCCTCGTCATGATTTGTAATTTAAGTGAATAAGGCTTTTTTTCTATGCAGTTCTTCCGATCTTCGATCGCGTTCCATTAGTATACTCAATTACTGCTTGAATTTTATTTCCCTTTAAATTTTCCGCTTTCATAATTAGCTCCAAAGTTGATTGACTGCTCAGAACGTAGTGAATTGACAGATGGTAACAAGTAAATAATCGATCGCCAAAAAATTATATGGACCTGTTACTTGTTTGGAGCTCCATAAAAAATTCACATTTCTCGGCATGTTAATTTAAGCCAGCGTTCCTACAATTCCTAAAGAAACTTGGCGAACCGTTCATGAGAAACAAAACTTTGGCTCAGCTAGAAGGGCGACCCACCTAACCGGGTCATTTTTTGTCGATTTGTAGCAGATCACCCAACTAACCGGGATATCGTTACTCCGCCGCGTAAACTCGGTGAAGGAGAGACCATCAGACCACATATACGTGATCGCTGTTTTGGACAACCAAAGCCTTGATCTTATCCGTATTTACTGAAAAACCTACTCTGTTCCGCTTTTTGGATTATTTCTCTCTCTTCTACTTAATTTGTTTTTTCGCAAACGATAAATCTCTTAATTAGATAGTCTGAAACTCTGACACGCTGTGAGCCATGCTTGGGATGAAAGATAGACATTCCTTGTTAATGGGAAGCGCCTAACTGTTTCAGTATTTGCATCAGTTTCTTTTGTTTTTACTTGGTTTCCTTTGTCAATAATCATGCATTTTATAAATAACTATCTATGCTTGTTGCGTCTTGGGATTCCTCCTTTTCCATATTGCCTTCTTCGTCACCACTTGCTTCAGGAGGCACGTTGTAATATGGATGATCTTCATTGTGTTTGTCTAGATCCAAGTATGGTGCATCCCTCTGCATTATCACCTCCAGTTTTTCGATCAGCTGAAAGAAACTGGGACGAGAGCAAGGTTCCTCCTTCCAACAGTCAGTCATCAGCTCATATCTGTTATGAATAAGAAACGAGGTCAATTACAGTTTCGATCCCTCGTTAGCCCGTGTTTTTATAACAGAGTAACCTGACCCTGTTTAGAAATGGGGCCCCTAACGCTTATGAAACTGAATCACGTCTCATCCACCAATTATCTGACATGCGCCGTTGATGTATATAGTTTTGGAATGCCCAGGCCTAAATCTTATTTCCAGCTAATAATGTGAGTAGGTATTCGCCCCTTGTGCAGTAATCAAAAACAGCCTTGGTTCTGGATTCCGTTCTGTCGGCTTCCTTGCCAGTGGACCAGAGACTCGGGATTCCAATCATTAGAGGGATTCTGGATTCTTAGAACTAAACTCTGGATTCCAAATCCCAGGATTTCGGATTCCACTGGCTAAAAATTTCCTGGATTCTGAAACACGGATCACTTTACATGGCTGTTCAGCTGGATAAAAATAAAAAATATAGCCAAATAATTTGATATTTCTCTAGTCTGGAGTGACGTTCTATGTAATTTGCAACAAAACAAAGGCATGGAAAAAAAATCAAATCTGTTAATAAATAATTGTTATAAAACGATCTTAGTAAAGTAACTTACACGTCATCAGAGCACATGTCAGGCCTTTCCATGCGATAACCAGTGCCGAGCAGTCGATACAACTCCGTGTTGGTCAGCGTGGGGTATGGTACACCTCCTGGAAAAAAAATAATCATCATATTATATGAATAATTTTCATTTCTTGTGGAAAGCTTTTTAAATGTAGATTGTATGGTCGTTTATTAATCATAATTCACCATAGCAGGTAACTAGATAATATTGGTTTTAAGCCGTAAAAACTTACCCAAGGTAGACATTTCCCAAAGAAGAACACCATAAGCCCTCCTATGAATATGTAAAGAATCATTGTGTTTCGTCTGTTCATAGCTCACTATTATCTACTATTAACTATGATATATATTTGATGAACGCACGACCTGATGCAATTGTCAACCGACTCATACTTCTGACTGTTTGACTGGCTGTTTATTAATTATGGCAAATTTTACAGAAAGCAACAAAATTTGCCATAATTAATAAACAGTCAGTCAAACAGTCAAGAAGTATGAGTCGGTTGACTTCCCGCTCACTTTGTGCACACTGACGCCTTTCTTACGAATTTGCGGAAAGATATTTTTTGAACAGGGGCACCCAAAAACTGTTTTCGTAAAATATCTGTTCGGAGAAGCAAAGATTCCCCAGAAATTTCTTTAGCCTGAGGAAGGCTAAAAATTTTCTAGAATAGACGACCGTTCCATTCATGTACAATTTTCGAAGCATAACTAGTAAATTCCCTACTATTTTCTCAAGTTCATGCAATAGTTCGCATTTTAGTCTCCAGGTTTAAAAGGTTATTTTTCTTAGGAAAAGGAAACCTAAAACTTTCGGATTCGAAAATGCGATGGAGAGAGGAATCAGAAAAATTCTCACTTTTGTAAAACTTAAAATTGCATCTAAAATTTTCGAGAAAATGATACTGAGGCCCTTGTAATTTCGAAAAGACTCAAGTTCCCCTAGGATGACCGAACATATACAAATTTTATAGCGCCGCATAGAATTCATTTCTAGAGATCTAAAAACTCTCTGGATAGCATAAAAAGTGTTTTCAAGTCATTTTTTGATTCACGGATAACTTGGATAGCGGATAACGCGAGGAGAGCAGAGGAAAGTCATTTGGATTATAGGGTATGGTTGCAAGAAACTCCCATTTAATCTAATAAGAGTAGCTTTAAGAAAGCATTTAATTCTGTATGCGTGTTTAGACCTCAAGACCAATATTCAAACCGAATGGTAACACAAGTGGCAAGTCCTAGGGGCGACCCTTTTTGTAGACCAAAAATCCGATGTAATATGACCAAGAAAGGCGGTAAGACACTGTTTTAAGATTAGCTACAAAACACCGTTAAATGGTCGAAAAAATAATCCTACATTTATCGATAAATTTGGGTTTTCTTCTTATAAACTTACTCACCGGCCGGGACTATTTATCCGCTCTGAACAAGCGATTTTCATACCTACACATATATATACATATACTTTATTTATGCTCGAAATTTACAGAGTAGCTGTAGAGCTAATGTATTCGAGGAAATAAGTTAAAATAAAATAAAATATGCTATATTACAATTCCAATATTATTTATAAACTATATACAACATTATGCATGCAAAGGGAAATATAACTTATAAATCTACTGTGGAAAAGCTTCATATCTGAGGATCTCCTGCTTGAATTCTAGAAAATTTAATGTTTTGTAAGTGTCTGGGGAGAGTTCCATATTTTGCTAGCTAAGTATGAAAAAGAGTGCAGACCGTAAGTCGTTGTTTTTTGGGTTGGGAAGGGCCAGGATATGATTTGCGCGCAACTTGTAGGATGAAGACCGTACGGTGAACATATCTTTCAAATAACCTGGATAATTCGTAAAGAACAGACTCTTATGTGATGTGATCATGAAGTTCTGGAGGCGTCTAACGAATAGAGATTTCATGTTAACTTTGCTTAGTAAAATGTCATATGGAGAGCTGTAGTTCAAGGACCCTCTATACTAATAAGCCCAGACAACCAAGCTGGCTCGGTTTCCTAGATCTCGAAACATTCAGTTTCGATATATAGCCAACTTCTGTAAAGTATTAGTCACAAACGTGATATGTTAGCGCACATAGAATATTTGTAACCGGTTAATGATATTCACTGTTTCTAATGGAGCCTATTTGGCAAACGCAATCGATCGTGGAACTGCGTTTCAGTTCAGTGACAATCAAACAGCTACGCCGGTTTGGAAGGTTTTATCTTTTACGTGTCTCAAAGTCGAAAAGAATCCCTAAACGAATGCAGCTGTCTCTAATTGTTGGAATTGCCTTCGGCTTCTGATTGATATCAGATTTGCCGATTTCCGGATGATCCGGATTTCCGCATTTCCGGTTTTCCCTATTTCCAGGTTTCGACATTTCCGGTTTACGTGTCAACCTGCATTTGACCTTGCAGAGGCGGTTGAATATAGGTTTATTCGGGGTTGTAGCTCTGAAATCTCAATTTTCTGATCCAAAATGGGACCTGCCTAGTTGATTTTCTGATTCTCGAGCAAATTTTCACCTCTGAACGGTTGTTTTACCGAGCTATTTAGCTCGAAACGTGACACAGTTTCACCTGTTTTGAGCTTCTGATTGTTAGCATGGGATTCAAAAATGGCCGCATACCAGCACTTTCTAAAGCACATTTACTGGAATTTTATGGAGTTCGGCATCTCAAGGATTGGAATATGGCTCAATTTGTGAGTCAGTGCCAGTAATGAATTAGGTAAGCCGTACTTTTGACAAAATCTGCTTGAGGTAGATCCGTTTCTCTAAATATGAAAATATCGTATTAGCTCGCAAACGGGTTGATACAAACGGTCATAACTTTTAAAATACTGAAATCGTACATGGGGTTTTGTACATTATTAATAACAGATGGTCTATCTTTGCGTCTATTTAGTGTAGAGCTTTCAACTATGTCCCAAAAGGCAGAAATAAGCTTCATATTTTGCTTGATTTCGTCTTTCCAGATTATATTTAGCGGATAACTATTACTTTCAGGAAAAACTAGAGATGTTTACCTATAAATAGGTATAAAATTCATTGGTAGATGGTGCAAACCAAACTTTTTACAGCGCCGCAAAAAATGCCAAATTTTCAGTTTTCAAGACTTGCAAAATGGCCGTGGCGGGACAAAATACTCGGCGCCCCCCAGCACGGCCAGAAAATTATTGTGAATCAAAGCAAACCTATTTTAGTTCTAGTCTTGATAAAGCCTTTCACTCGGCAGAGTTTCAGGCAAAATTATTTTTTCACGCGAAATTGAGTGGGCGGCTTTTACTGAGACAGCCTCTTAATTTTCCCTTGCGCGAATAGTTTTTTGTACCTCGCCCCCCCACCTCCATAAGTTTTCTAATGGTCCGTCCCTAAGTTATAAATCTTAAATTCGTTGTCACTAGAATTGTTGCATAACATCTAGGGAGTTTGTTACTTCTATTTGAGAATTTTCTCCCGAGCCTAATTTCTGATAATTAAACTTTCAAAAAATGGTTCCCTTGTCCAGATGAAGTAATTGTTTACTTACACATCACTTTTGGTGGTGTAAAGGCCTTGATAAAGTGATTCTGGGGCCATCCACTTCACAGGAAGTTTTTTGGACTTCCCTGAGCTGTATACATCTTCATATATCTGTCTCATCAACCCAAAGTCTGCCACTTTGACCTGGTTGCCATGGCCAACGAGAACATTACGGGCAGCAAGGTCTCTGTGAACAAACCTGTTTTCCGCGAGATGATTCTATTAAAAATTGAAGAAATATATGGCAAAATTGTATAATCGTGAGAATAATGGCACACTGCTAGCATTAGTATAGGTAATAGCATGATTTGTAGTGATATTTGGCATAAATACTGCGAGTGATATTTCCAAATTGTTATACGTAATTTCACGAGCCGTTATCACGAGTGGTATTTAAGCCAAATATCACATACAAATCACGCTATTATTTGTTTATACCGCCTACCCAGAAAAGGTTTGTAATTTTCACACGTGGGTATTTCAAATTAAGCTGAAATACTACTGCTCTAAGCCAATCAAATTGCAGAAATTTCTCATGTAGTAGTATAAAAATAGTAAATAGCTGAAGGCAGGATCGAGCCCTTAATAACCTATGACGGAGGTACTGAGGAAGCCAAAAAATTTTGGAGCAAATGAAACATGCAATATCATTTTTGCATCTAGGACAAACATTCAGGTTTGGACAAGTAATAGAAAAGCCGCGAATGAGTCAAAACTGTGGTCGACACACTGTAAGAAAATCCGTTTCCTTTCAGGCTAGCCCTATAAAAAGAACTTTTGATCGAAAGAACGCCGCGATCATATGGAGTTTTTAAAAATTCATTGCTAAAAGTATACATTCTCTATTTTGCCCATAGTTTTGGTCAAATCAAGGATCATTGCAATGTTATCCATAAAATAATAGTATTTACCATTCCTTTAGCTATCTGCAATGCAAATGAAAACAGTTGTTCGGTAGAAAAGCTCTTCTCTTCCTCACAGAGAACCTCGTCTGACTCCTTTAGGTTTTCGATTGAAAGTGACATTGCGGAATTAAAAGCTTGACTTGCTGTTCCTGGTGATGCTGATGGGCTGGATAGAAATTCTTTTTCAGTTACTTTGAATTTCTCATCCTAAATATTTTGATAAAAAGTGAAACAGTGTAAGTTGAATGGAGTCTTGTATGGCGTAAAACCAGCTGTAAACTGACCTGTTCAGGTCACCTAGCTTGTTCGTAAATAAACGGCAATTAGCAACTGAAAAGTGTGCAGGAAGAAGAAAACAGTTAACGAAAAAGTACGTATGAAGAGTAGCTATTCTCGTTATGCATCCATTCTCCCACCATCGACTAAAAATATACTTCATTTTAAAACAAATTATGCGCTACTGTCTTACAACAAGGAGATTACGAGAAATCGACGCTACGCCCTGCGTATCCACCTCACTGTTATCTTTTAACACTATTTCCCTGTTCGTTTGTGTCTTTTCCGCTTCCTTTACCTGTTCTTTAGTAAAATTTTTTTCCTGTGCGAGAGAAAGGAAAGAAAAAGAACATGTTATCTGTCTATTATCAGAAATTGAGACTTGAGGTAGATCAGAGGTTCCGCCCGAAAGGTCTTAGGCTTCGGGAAAATAAGGCGGTAGAGATTATACTTGTTGAAGTCAAAACGAAAATGTTTGGAAATTTGTCATTTAGGTATTTACTTAAAAGAGCCTTTTATTAAAATGTTGCGTACTAGTGCACCATATGGAAAATTCTATTTGGTTTTCTTATTTAGGTTCCAGTATCATCCATTATTAACTTCATTCCAAACATGTGGTTTGAGCTACAAAAAACGCAGCAGATCATGCACCGAACCCTCTCCCCAGTACGGCGGAAGCGGGTGTAATGGAACCAATGAGCAAGTCGAACATTGTGTCGGCAAAGATTGTAAGTGAACCCAGTTTTCTTAAGAAGGTATGTGAAAGGAGTACCATTTTCAAATGGGAGGTACAGAGAAAGGGTACACTGTATTAGTTGTCCAAAAACGTATACTAAATAAAGTGCTATTAAGTTGGTATTGGGACGGAGCTTTCCTGTAAGGACATTTCCGAATTCCCCCCCCACCCCCCTGAGATAAACAAACACCCAAACGAACAGTCTGGACCAAAGTAAAGGATATAATTTATTATTAAGAACAGATAGAGCTGGCATGTGCAAAGTTAAGGAACTTACTTGATATCTGCATTTCCCCTGATCGTTCAAAACCTCTTTGTTGTCATATGAACGCTCGGAGGCTCGATGTTTGTTGATCTTGATGTCCAACAATTAACGACATCAGTTTGAATACAAATAAATTAAAGACGATGTCAAAATTGATGCGCGTTTACAATGACCTAATAGCAATATGTTCGTAAAATTTAAGCAACCAAAACGATAATCCAAAGATGACCTAATCGTTGAGTTACTTCTATAAGAACTCAAGCACATTTCACCTATTAGCTCATGAAAATATTGAGTTGAACAAGGAGGGAGGGGCCATCTCTAAGGTAAACATAGGTTCACTGATCACCACCAGTTATCGCAAAAAAACTCGCAAAGTTGTAAAGAGTAAGCAGTAAGGGGAAACAAGCCAAAAGGAAAAAACAAGATTAAAACAAAAACTATTAACAGAAAAAAAATGTACAAATTGAGAAACAAAAAACTGCTTCGATTGGAGCGGGAGAACCTAGTTCATCTGTAACTGCAAGCAACTCCTTAACCACTGCACCACGGTGCCACGCAGTGTTTGGTGAAGTAAATTGTTAAAAAAACCGTTTTTCTCTGCCATAGACGCTGTTAGGAGCTGGTAGAGCTGTATTTATCATGAATTGAAAGATACGTTCGAGGAAAAATTAGGTTAAGCACGTATTTCAAAGCCATTTCGTATTATTTGGGGTTCAAAAGACCGGTCGTTGTAGAAAATCGATCAAACTAGCTAGCTGTACTGAATTTGGTGGAGAAATCAGAAATAAAAGAGGCCCACACTCTCGAAGAGTTTGATCAGAAGTACAGCCGATTTAATTGGCGAAAGAATATGGAATATAAACGTGTGTGACCTCTGAATTGAACCTCCTATTCTGGAGACTAGGCGTTGGTTATTTTGGAGAAAAAAAGAACTTTATAAATTTTTTATGCCCTTGCTGGTCCCGTAAAGAAGATGGCGATTCCGTAAAACGGCCCGCGACACAAATAAACAAAATTACACAATGACGGGCACAAAATACCAAGGCGGATTACACAAGCAGATAAAAGCAACAACAAAGCTCACACACTTATGATCAAATTAACGATGTAAAGCAATATTTGCCTAGTTTTAAATCTTATCCCCGACCTCTCTTGTTGTAATGACCATAGAGTCCCTTACAAATTTGCACAAGCGACTCGAACCTCTCACTCGTTGCTATGTGACGTCAAACTGGCAGTGATGAATCAGTCACAGACAAACACATGAAAACAATAGAGATGGCCCCTTGCCCCTGCACTGTACTAAGGATACAGTCGAATCTCCTCACATCTAGATACAACTGCCATCTTGGTCACAGAGGTGGTCATTATGAAACTGACGGGTTGTAGTACACGTTTGGGAAAAGGGTACAACTTCTTTATTTCATAGATATTATGAAAGTTCTTTTCAGACCGAGATGGAACCCAATATCAAGCCACCTTGGCCGAAAAAGCTTGCCCAATTGCCGAAATATTATTCCACAGAATTTGCCCTTACGGAAAAAAAGCAGTCCTGTAAGGCCTCCCTAGCTAATTTCTACACTGACGGCCACATGCTGGTCAATCGTTTGAGAGCTTTGAGTTCAAGATTGGCGTCCTACAGGAATGTCGCCTTTCACCCCTGTTGTTTCCTGGTCCGACTGGATCATAAAACCACAAGGATGGGGCCGGAAGGAACAATAGGATTGAGTAAACTAAATTTCCCAGCATAACCCAAAGACTTTGACTTTGCTTGTGACTTGAGTCACAGCCACACGTGACAGATCTAAAACAAGACGAAAAGACTGCGAACTTGGCTAATAACACTCCAGTCTCATTATGTGGATAGCCCACAGAGGAACTTGACTCCTTCGCCTATCCAGGCAGTTTGTTAGAGGAGGCACGAGTCGAGATATCACTGCTAGTGGGCAAAGTTATGGCAGGCTTTATTACCCCCCAGAACTTTTGGGCACCAAAGGAAATAGAGACAAGAAGAAAACTATCTTTAATTCAAATGTGAATTCCATCTTCTCTGCGGACGATTAGTTCCCTGGATTAGATACATGGTGAATAAAAAGACATTTCAAAAAATTCAGATCTCAGTTGTTCGAACGGCGGATACCGCTATCCAGGTATAAATTCTTCTATCTCGTGGAATCATAATAGGTTTCCTTAATACTTATCCGTTGGACAGTCGGGTGATTTATCGGGTGGATTCGGCTATTCAACATTTGGCCAACTGGGACCAGACGTTTATCAGCTGTTTTGTGTGGCACATTTAGTTACGGGCGGCTGGCCCGAGAAAGTAAAAAAGGAGATGTGACTGAAAGGAGTTTGAAAACCAAAGGAAAACATATTCGAAGGGGTAAGTAGGGTTGGATTGGCCATACTCTAAAGAAACAAAGAATCACCACGCCAGGCATTGACCTAGACACTCCAGGCTCAACGGGAGAGAGGGTTATCTGATTATTTGAGTGGAGTGGTTGAAAACTAGCAAAATAAGCTAAGTGCACGTTCCATTAATAATACACAATCCTCAACATTAAGAACAGCTAGAGGAGGGAAGTAAGAACAGCCCAGAGCAGAGTTCGATGAAGGAGTGCTTCAGTAGAAGACAAGGGCCGTTTGTGACACAGTGTAATTCAGTTTTAAAATTGTTTTATTTTTCTTTTCTTTGTTACCTCTTTTCTTCTGCAGCGAAGCCACGTAAGAAGGTCACCAAATGGAACGTATTCTACAACCAGGAAGTTTTGATCCTTAAGTGTGTACCATCCAACCAAGGATACAATATTCTTGTGCGAGCCCAACAACTTCATCTGCTCGATTTCGAAGGTCAACTCTTCTTTCTGCGCGTCAGATGGATCATCTAAGAACAATTACAGAGACATTATTTCATTCTTTAATGTGACGGCATTATGTGCTACATTCATTTCTTTCACACCCCATCCGTCTTTTGACTCACAATGGACAGATATATATTCGTCGATCGTATAACGAAATCTCGTAAATAAGTTGACAAAGTTTTGGTCGGTTGACGGACCATCGAGTCATTATAGATACGTGCCTACGTACAACTGTATGCGTATTCGCATTTTGGTTCAGTCTTCGGGGGACAAGATTATTGCCTGTTTTTCTTTTGTATTGTAAGTTTTCAATGAAAGGAAACCAAGAAAGTAATTAATAAAAGGAAGAAAATTGGAGAAGGGATTGAGTATGAAGCACAAAAATGATATAAGTTTGTTGATTTTGTTGTCTTTTTTTTTAATGCAAGCATTAGTTAATCAAATCGTTTGGAAGGCCGGTCCAGCAGAATATTTTGTTCTCCGTTTTAGTGCGGTGTAATTCGGTTGGGGAGAAAATTGTTTACGTTTTAAAAAATTGGGATTGTTTCATTCAAATGGCGCGAAAATAATTCACAAAAAAAACTCATGAGTAGTATAGGGCGTACCGAATTATCCTTTTTAGCACAGGAATGCCTAAACGACCATGATGTCATTATTAGCCTTTTGTCTTTATCTCATGAATAAATTGAGGGAAGATCTCGTTAAAGGAAACCTCCACTCTTACTACAGAATGAGTTTAAATCGAATAAAATTATGTTGATAAACAAATTTGTTCGAAATTTGTCTTAAAAAAAGTGTTTATATCAGGAAAAGTGAATTTTAAAATCGCTTATTTTCACTTTCAAATTTCGCGGGCGCCGCCATCTTGAATAATTGTGACGTGTTACGGTTGCTCTATTGTTCTGACACAAAGAGCTTTTGTTTAATAACAATAGGGCAACCATTACACGTCACAATTATTCAAGATGGCGACGCCCCCAAAATTTGAAAACAAAAATAGGCGAATCTAAAAGTTATTTCTTTCGGATACAAACGCTTTCTTTAAAAATATTTTAGATTGACTTGACTGTAACAGTTATTTCCTGTGATTTAAATTTATCTTTTTGTTGAAGTGGAGGCTCCCTTTAAGATAGGGTCACTCGCTATATTTAGGTGCTTTAACCCGTTGGACAGGTTTTTTAGTTACTTCAAGAGCAAAAATTGGTGCGATTCCCTCGCAAGAAAGGTAATTGGGTGCGCCCCTTATTACTTTCGTGGCTTTATCTTTTGTTAATGAGCAATATTTCTTTCCATGTAAACCTTTGACGGCAACAACTTGCGGTGGCTTTTTGTCGGATAGTAAAGTTCTCTTTGTAATTTCGGCATCAAACACCTCCATCCCAACTCTCTTTCTAAAGGTTGCTTTATAAACCACGCCAAACGCTTCTCTCCCTAACTCTTCCTCGATCTCTATTTGCTCAGGCAGAATTTGCCACTTGTCAAGAGGCCTGATCTCGCGTTGTGAGTAAGGCAATCTGGAGAAGACGGACAT